GTTCATAGATCTTGGTTGGTTAAATATGAGTCGACGACGGACTTTACATTCAGCAAACCTCTACCACAAAATTTTAACAAGACGCCGCAATATCTTCATCGAAAAATCACATATCGTACCGACGTATGTACATAATGTTAACGTTTGCTATGAAGAAAAATTAACGCCCCCTTCGCACTGTTCTTCCCTGTTTGAAAGATCCTTTGTTTATAATACAACAAAACGGTATAACTCTCTGCCTGAGGAAGTTTTAAAATACCCGGCCCCAAAGATTAAAGCGCGTTCCTAGAAAACCGTCTTTGGGAGGAGCAAGTTCTTAAAATCAGAACTAAATCACAAAATATGTAACCACTGCATGTATTAATCTCATTTATCATCCTTGCGTTTTGTAGATCAGCGTGTCCCCAGTCACCGTTACACACCGATCATGCATAGGGTTAGGTGGAAGAGCAGGACGCGGATATCCGCCAACTGAACATCGCCCTATTCTAACGAATCTTGCTGTCTCTATTCTTAATTCAATTCAATAAAGGCAATTATTGAGGGAATAAATGGACTAAATGGTAAAAACTTATATTTTGGTTAATGTTCCTTAGGGCAATCGATTTTGACTGATAAAGTCATCATCAGGCCATTGCTGGAATACATTTTTGATGAACGAATGTTATAAATATATTTATGTCTTACTAACCTATCATAGCACATTTTATATCTGTGATGCGCGGGCATAAGGTACCACTTTATGCCCTAGGGCATTAAGTATCACCATAGTAACTCATTCATACTTAATGACAAAACAAACAAATATTTGCAGGTCATTGAAAATTAGAAACGTCAATTATTAATTGTCAATCCCTACTAAATCACAAGATTGTCCTTATTTCGTATAGTTTCTGGAACTTCTTGCTCATTCACGATGAATTGAATTATTTAAAATTACGTTTGACGTTTGGATGGTTTCAATCACATTAACAAATTCGAACCACGCATACTCGATCAAACATAATGAATTATTTTGTAAACGAATTTTGACGAAGAAAACTATTTGTAAAACATAAAATTGTGTACCTATGTACCACGGGCATAAACTGATGTTTATACTCTCGGGCGACGTCGCCCTCGAGAATATAAACATCACTATTATACCCTTAATACATAAATAACTATTACGATGAAGCTTACCGTCAGGTTTTGAAATATACGGTAAGCTTCATATATTTATAACATTCGTTCATCAAAAATGTATTCCAGCAATGGCCTGATGATGACTTTATCAGTCAAAATCGATTGCCCTAAGGAAAATTAACCAAAATATAAGTTTTTACCATTTAGTCCATTTATTCCCTCAATATTATAAACTTATAAAAAATGGAACACAAAGGCAATTATCTTGTCGAGTCCTAAATTCTATAATTTTAAAAAATAATAATAATATAGAATAAGATAAAATATTAATAATAATTTAAAAAAAATATGAATAAAAAAGATAAAATAAAAACGCACACATTTCCTACAAGTTTAATTAAGTGGCATTGTTTATTGTGTAAGTGTTTGTTTGGCTTTGTGTTTGGGTTGAATACGAATAGGTTCTGATAATATAATGTGGTATGTTTCTGAGAAGAAAGAGTTTTGTGTTTTTTAGCTGTGCTAGGACTTTATTGGGTGGACCTGTCATTGCAGTGTATGTTGCGTCACTTGTATTTATTGTGTTTGTTTGTTCAGTAAGTGGTATTTGTGTAGTTGCTTGGGTTAAATGTGAACAAATTACGGTAAATTGTGTTTATTATTATTATTATCGTTTTTATGAAAGCTAAGATTTTTAGCTGCAGAATGCTAAACAAAATCCTTAAAATGCGCATAACAGAAGGAATTATGTTTCGCGATTAGCAGATAGATAAGGAAGATCATTATTATTTATTCTTCGTAGTGCCTTTTATATGCTCTACACCATTTTTGGGTAGTATGCACTAGACGAGACGAGACGCGACTGAATCAGGCCGAGACTCGCGGCAACACTACTCTTCAGTCATTAAACTAGCGTGAACGTTCGCGCCAAGCAGAATGTCGAACTTCTTTTGCTGGTGAAACTGATTGTCTGCAAATGGCAGCTTATAAAATTTTCGGCAGAGTAAGCTCTGATGAAAGTTCAGCAGTAGGTACATAAGTCATCACATATGTACGGTAGGACACTGGTCTTATTCAGAAATTTCCGGGCACTTGAAGCGGGATTAAGTTTTTAATTGAACAGAACCTTTAGAAGTAGATTCCCTTCCGCTCACTTCGAGGATGCACCAGGTTTTTCTTTGCGTTGTAATACTGGGCAGTTTGTGAGCTTATTTGTCACATCTTTGTCTGGCGCGTAGGTACAGACATCGTGCAGATTGCAGAATGAATTCTGTATTTGACACAACATGGTGGAGCACTTGACTGGTAGATACGCAAAACATGACGGCTGTGTGTCTTTCTTGAGTGGTGCCCGTGAAATGCGTGGAAGAAAACGTAGTAGGAAGTGCAGGAGGCTATCGCTATATCTAGTACTTGGAAAGGTATGTAGGTACAGCTGTTGGGAGGTGTAAAAGACTGTGATGTGTTAAATTGCAGGTACTGCAAAAATAAAACTGTTTAAACACTATTATTCAGAAAACTCTGCATTCGAAACTCTGATAGACACTCGACGTCTTCGAGCGTAACGTAGGGTCGTCTAACGTAATGAAGTATCGACACTCCTTTTATAAAAAAGGCGTTCACGCGCACCACTTCCACTTTCTTTTTTAAAAGCGTCCAAATTTTTGGGCAAACCCACTATTTTGTCGTCCTGTTATTTGTATTGTTGTACGCAAACTAAACTATATATTGCAGCAAACGTCTGCGTGTGTTTGAAGCTACGTTTGTAATTTGCACCGAATATCGATTATACATGACTAGTATGACCAAAGACCTTGAGTAAAACATTAAAGGAAACAGTACGCGTTTGCTTGTCTTCTAGCATTTGTAAACTTTATTGCCTGCTCCAGTTGTTTCCAACAGCCATTGATCATGTAGAGTTTCTACTTACATTATGTTAACACGTAAATAATGTGGTACGCACCCAATATTCCTTTATCAGTGTAGTGCTGTACTTCCACTCCAGAATAATCATAGTTTAGGTATACATTTAGTAATTGATCATACTAAAGTTCAAAATTTTTTCCATTTGACAGCAGCAACGTTTCAAAGGTTGCCATTTCGGTCCCAGTACTTGCATGAGCTATCGATTAGCATACTTCATGATAACTTATTTTATTTCTGAAACGGGAGTAGGTACAGAGTACAAAGCTAAGGCATGAAGGAGGAAGGAAGCACTCTGTCGCCTGGTGTAAGGTCAACCGTATAAAACCAGCTCCATATGAATTGGAAAAGGAGATATGACATGATCAAAATATACCACGGAGTACAGTCTAATACTCTTACTTGCAAATGAAAGTAATAAGATATAATTAGATGCGGGTATGCGTTAATGGGGTACGCACTCTAAGGCATGACTAAGTAATAAAGCAAAAAGTATCATGATGAAACGAATCATATACCCAAAAGTGCTGATAAGAGTAAGATAACTCAGCACACGTCACAGCTATACTATAAATACCGATCGCCAAGCTATCATTGTTCTTTAATACCCTGCTCATTGCTCAAGGTAAAAAAAAGCTAATTTTATTTTGTTTTATTGCTAATTTTTGTATGTAGCAAAATGTTAAGGGCACTGATTGTAACTTTACTTGTTGGGCTTGCCCATGGAGTAAACTATCGCTTACCATTAGAAGTAAAGCCGCTAAAATATCATTTAGAGATTCAACCCAATTTTGAAAATGATATTTTCTTTGGAAACGTGTCTATTGAGGTCCAAGCAACGAAGCATGCCAACACAATCACCCTTCACCAGCTTGGATTAAAAATGCCACCAAAAGAGTTAATTCAAGTGCTTTCGACAACCACCAACGAGACCATCGTTGTTGAATCAGTTGGAGCCGGAGAATGCGAATTTCAGCATTTCTTTATAATTACTCTAGCGACTCCATTGGTTATTGGTAACCACTACTTACTCAAAATACCAAATTTTGAAGGTAGTTTCATATCCGAATATCACAACGGGTTTTATTACGCTCACTACGTGGATGAATTGGGAACCAAGAAGTATGGGTGCGTTTTTAGATGATGATTATAATTGTGCAATTTTAGAACATTTGCTACGACTCACTTTCAACCGGTGTTTGCGCGCAGATCATTTCCCTGCTTCGACGAACCGGCACTTAAAGCAAATTTCAACCTTGTCGTAAAACGACCCAGCAGTAGTTACATATCGGTGGCCAATACTCCGAGAGATGAACGGTTGTCTAATGGTCTAACAGACGTGTTTGAAGAAACCGTTTCAATGTCGACCTACCTACTCGCTTTCATCGTAACCGACATGCAATATTCTGAGACATTTGGTCGTCATCGAGTGTTAGCACCAAAATTCGAACTTGAGCAAGGTCGGCACAGGTATTCTTTAAACAGCAGTTATTACCTTCTCAATGAAATGGAAAAATATACGGAAATTCCGTACGTTTTTAAAAAGTTGGACCACGCTTCCATTCCGAAGGACTATTCGTCTGGCCTTGCAATGGAAAATTGGGGACTTATAACTTATAGGTATTTTTGTAGACGATACGATAAGGTTTTTTAACGATTATTTATGCAGGGATGATGTCTTGTTAACATCATCGAATGCTGACATATCCCAGAAGCGACAAGCACTAAGTACAGTTGCTCATGAAATTCAACATCAGTGGATTGGTAACCTAGTTACTCCAGATTGGTGGAGCTACATTTGGTTGAATGAAGGGTTTGCAAATTACTTTGAGAATTACCTAGCAGACAAGGTAAGAGTGATCAATTTTATGAATCCTAATTGGTGCATTGATAGATTGAACCTGGTATGGATATTTGGAAGAGATTCATTATTCTAACTGGTCAGACTACAATGTTGTTTGACAGTATTCCGGAATACACCAGGCCGATGACTGTAACAGTGGAAGAATCCTATAAGATACCTTTCCTTTTTGATAAAACTGCATACCAAAAATGTGAGTAATAAAGGTTTAACAATACCAAACTAATTTCTTTAACCTTTAGCTGGCGCAGTGATAAGAATGTTGGAAAACATGGTTTCGCGAAAAGTTTTCCGACAAGGTTTAATTTACTACTTGAAGGAGAAACAATTTCAAACGGTAACACCCCGTGACCTTTACAGAAATATTCAACGAGTCCTAGATGAATCTTCTGAAAACGTTTTTCCACAACCATTGACGGTTGAAAGTGTAATGACAACCTGGGAAACGATCGCTGGCTTTCCACTTGTAACAGTTACAAGAAATTACGGTAGCACCATAAATAACATCAATCTCAAACAGGTATGCTTTGTTATATCACAGATTTAAGAGTGTTTAGATCTGTGGTTATATCTCTAACGGTGATTCTTATTAGTGGAAGTATTTCAGAGGGCGTTTAATATATACAACAACCAGGGTGAGGATGGACGCTGGACGATACCAATTAATTACGCTAGCAAGGGGAGTGCCTCGTTTGAGAGCACTGCTCCGAAAAAATGGCTCATACATCCAACAGATACATTTACAGTCGCAGATTTAGACGATAGGGATTGGTTCATAGTGAACGTACAGCAAAGTGGATATTATCGAGTTAACTACGATGAAAGAAACTGGGCTCTAATTGCCGATGCACTAAAAGAAGACCATCGTGTAATTCACCCACTGAACAGAGCAAAGTTGTTAGAGGATAGTTTTTATTTAGGGGCAACAGGAGATATTTCTCCCAATATATTTTCTAAATTATCAGAATATCTGGTAAATGAAGATGATTCGTTAGTGTTAGCTGCCCTTCCTGCGCTTTTCGCCAGTATGGATAATAAGCTTTATTATTCAAGAGGACACGATGACTTTAAGGTATCAGTATCAATAGTAATCTTGAATCTTAGTTTCTCTTTCTAGGATCGTGTTATTTATCTTCTTCAAGGTGCATATAATCATTTGACATTCGACGAAAGGTTAAGTGACAGACTTAGTGAAAAAGAGGCGCGCGCCGGTGTTATATTTTGGTTGTGTAAAATGGGACACATGGAATGTCGAAGCAAGGCATTGGAAAAATTTGAGGCATGGAAAAATGAGAATGCGACTATTTCAACCGATTTGGAATCTGCAGTATTTTGCAGCGCCATGCGTAGCAATAACCAAAGCCACTTCGATTACTTATTTAAACTATTTATTGAAACGACCGACTATGATTTGAAGAGCCGCATTGCGTCTGGTTTAAGCTGTATGGAGGAACATAAATATTTGCAACGGTACCGTGGGATGTAAATTTACCGATAGTAATTTGTTTATTTTAGATTTTTAGAAAATTGTTTGAATTACTGTCCATCAGCATTACTAGAACAGGTCATTAAGCAAATGCACAGCAGTAGCAAGCATGGGTTAGAAGTAGTGTTAGATTTTCTTTCCCAAAACATGGAGAAAGTTCATAAAATGTAAGTACTTAATAATTCGAAAGAAAAGTAGGTAAACACAGTGTTTTAGCTTTGGTGGTCACACAAAGTTTATGGTTGAAGAGCTTGCCAGTCAATCCTACACCGATGGGCATCTGAGAAAGGTATTGTTTTATTTATTCACTACTAAATACTAATTCAAAGAAAAATTGCAGTTAGCAAGGTCGCAGTTATGGGCAAAGTCAGTCCCCTTTTTCGATAGAGCTGTAGCAACGATAGCCAATAATGTTGCATGGCTGAATAAAAATGAACACAAGTTGTTGGAATTTTTAACACATTCACAATAAAACATGTTCTGTTGGATTTATTACGGAATATTATCTTGTTTTGAAATACTGGGAATTTTTAACGCATTTTTTAGTAATGTAGATTTGTTAAAATTTAAAGAAATTAGGTATAATTTAATTTTATTGAAAATAAACAGGTTGATCCTCTTTACAACCTCAGCAGGGGACATAATTTAGAGTGTACCTATCAAATTTGATTGAGCTTTTTTGTGATCCGGTCAAGAATTTCAGCTGGTTTTTTTAAGTTTTCAGTAGGTATTGGGGGAGTTGTGCGTGCGAAAATTCTGGGAACCGTGGGAAAATATTTCGGCAGTTGACCCGGGTCAAATTTTGGCAATTAGATATCTGGACCCAGCAACTTAAATGTTGGACCCGACCCTTTAACGTCATCGCTGAATTTTTTCTATTGGTGTTGGGATTCGAACCCACGACAGCTGAAATAGAAGGCTAAGGGCCGGTATTATAAAAGTACAGTTCAAGCGGAGATTGATCAAACGGCGATTGAACGTGAAACCAAGATTGAGAGCGGTTGCGTACTATAAACACCTTTGGAAGAGCGTTTGGTTAATCTCCGTTTGAGTTTACGATCCCTAGTATGGTAACACTGCGGGCGAACCGAGGACCAATCAGAGCGCAGAATTTTTAGTGGCCGATGCGTCAGCTGACAGCTGATGGCGTTTACATTCTTCGCACCCATCGCGGCCGCGCCGCTCGTTCTTTTCGCTTCATTTGCCCCTGCCACTGTCACTGTGCTGATCTGTTCATCTCCTTGCTAAATCGTTTCACATAGCGCTGTTTTGCCTGCCGCTGTGCCAATGATAGACAAGGGAAAAAAAGCGAGTCGATTTTACTGACGCGGACGCCCATCAGCAAGCGGACTGCGTTCACTCATATTTTCATATAATTGAAAATAAACGGACGGACGCCTCTACTACCAAGAACAAGGTAAAGCATCAGGATATCATCATTTGTACGTTTTTTGTTTGCATCTATACCCCTAATCATTCTGTGTTTATACACCCTCGTATGGAAGAAAATTGCAAAGAAGTATAACGCTACATCAACTGAATCACGCACTGAACACAAAATATCATCTAGCACAGTGAAAAACCTCACTGGTACTGAAGCTGGAGCTGGTGACGACAGCCTCACCATTGATGGGCAATTTGCATAGATGTGCCCCAATCTTGTTTTATAGGGATCTAACAGTAGGTACTTATCCTTGAACAACCGAAATCTCTGCCGAAATTCCTATTCATCCCACTTGCCGAAATGATCAACACGTTCTCTAAAATTTCTGCTCTTCTTCTAATGAACTCGTCCTCTGACGAAGAGTCATCGTCGCTTACTGCCCACGTCCAGTAATCGACTCCTTGCACGTCCAATTCAAATTATTTCCATTTCGTTATAAATAGAAACAATGACACAAAACAAAATAAACTGGTTACGATAATCTTAATTGTTTACATGTTCGCGCGCCTGATCTCCGTTTGGGCATTAAAACCCGAGAAAATTGGCGGGTTGACTACAATCGGAGATTGAGCTCTGGTTACGACTCAAGCGGTGTTTATAATAATAATAATAATGACATTTATTGAGCACACACCATACAAAGAACAGATATTATACATTACATTACATAATGGGTGACTCAATAGGGCGAAGTTCAGACTGGAATAAACCGTGTTATTCCGTCTGCTCTACCACTCAACCCCCTACATATGAAATTAACAACAAGAGACCAAGACATAAAAAAAACCTAGCAAGAAAAAACTATATGATAATAAAAACCATTCAGTATGAAGGCACAAATGAAAACCTAAAAAGAAAAAAAAAAAATGTAAAAAAAAAAAAAATTATAGCAATAATGATATTAACGATGGAACTTAATGCTGTCTTGCAAGGAGTATGAGGCGCAAGCGTTTTTTAAAAAGACTTTCGGATAAATGTTTTAAATGAGATGGTAATTCATTATACGTCTTTGCAATATTGTAACTGAAGGAGCGTTTAAATAGTGACGTTTTGTGAGTAGGTATAGTTATAAAAAACCGATCTCTAACATTGACATTATGGACGTCAGCTCTGTATGTTACCTTTTCAAATAAATATGACGGAGTTTTGGTTTGAAGTATGCCATGGAACAAACAGGCAGAATGTAATATTCTTCTGTTGTTCATATCAAGCCACTGGAGGGATTTTAATTTATGTGTAATCCGGTCGTATTTTCGGATACCAAATATTAGTCTAAGGCAAGAATTCTGCATTCTCTGAATTCGATTGTAGTCTCTTTTGTCGATACATGGGCCATACACACTATTACAATAGTTAAATTGGGAAAGCACTAAGGATTCACAAAGCATAACCTTAATACTACGATTAATAAGAAATCGGCTATTAAATATTAGTTTAATATTTGTAAACGCTTTATTAATTATTTGAGATATATGCTTTTTGAAACGTAATTGGGAGTCAAAAATCAATCCAAGATTTTTGTATTCATTAACGACTGGTAATATTGCCCCGTTGGACTCAACAATTATTGCATGCTTGAGCGTGTTAATAATCGACGTTCGGCCAAATAGCATAACAGCTGACTTATTGCAGTTAATCTGGAGTCCATGTTCTTCAGAAATCTTAGCTATATTATACAGGTCAGAATTGAGTTGATTGTTGATTGTATTAATGTTAAGGTTTTCAGTCGGAGCTTGATATAATAATTGTGTGTCATCCGCGTACATGTGATAAGTGCAGTATTCTAAACAAGTGTCAAAATTGGAGGTGTATATAATATACAGTAAAGGTCCAAGCACTGACCCCTGCGGAACACCTGCTGTAACAGCAATGGGGTTTGACATGTGGTCATTTAAAGACACGCGTTGTGTTCTATTGCTAAGGAAGCTTGAAATAAATTTTATAGAATAGTCGTTAAATCCGATAAATTTTAGTATTGCAAGGAGAACAGCATGGTTTATTCTATCAAAAGCTCTAGAGTAATCGAGCAAAATAAGAACTAGCAGTTTTTACGATCAATTGCAGAAATAATTGTGTCTGTGACGTGCAAAAGGGCAGTAGTGCAACTGTGCCGCGACCTGAAACCGGACTGTAAAGGGGGAAGAAAGTTTTCAGAGGTTAAATATGCCCTGATCTGCCTATCCATGATCCTTTCCAAAATCTTAGACATACAAGGCAAAATACTTATTGGACGTAGATCAGTAAACCCCTTCGGATGTTTAATTTTAGGGAGAGGTATTATCTTGGCATTTTTCCATGAATTTGGGAATACACCAGCGATAAGACAAGAGTTGATTATGTGGGTGATCAAGTCGGTTAAATATGGAAGGCATAACTGCAGCATGTACACACTAATCTGATCCAGACCTATCGATTTAGACTTTATCAAATATATGCAGTTAAGTACTTCTACTTCAGTAGTGGCGGTAAAACTAAATTTATGTTTAGAATGTCTACTATTGCTATTATAATAATGAAGTAAGGTATCATTGATAGGTGTACTTGTGTAGGTACAAAAAGAACTATTAATTTTGTCAACATCACATAACTGGGGAGGAATTTCATTATGGCATTTGGTTCTATATACATCAGCTTTGCGTAGCTCTGCCCAGATTACCTTAGGGTTATTATTAGACGATTTTAATTTTGCTTCTAAAAATGCCCTTTTTTCTGATTTAATAGCAAAGGTGGTATAATTTCTTAAAGTTTTATAGTACTCCCAATGGCTAGCTTTTTTCGTCCTTTTATATCTAGTTAAAGCCTTGTTTCGAAGCGACATCATCAGCTGTATATTCTGAGTTAGCCATGGTGCATATGGTTGCGACACTTTACATTCTTTAATGGGGGCATGCTTATTAAATAAGCTGATGATGCAATGTTCAAAGAACGCCACTTTGTCATTAACATTGGACATTATATACACAGTGCCCCAAGGAATCAATTTTAGGTCGTTATCGAAGTTGGACAAATTGATGTGTAGGTAATTACGATAACGACGCAGAACTTCAGTTTTCGCTTTCATTTGTTTAACAGGATATTTACATTGTACTATGTGATGGTCGGACAAGCCGTGCACACTATTTACAGCCACATCTATAACCTCTATATCATTCGGCACTACTATAAAGTCAATAAGGGAGGCACTGTTACTTGATATACGTGTAGGTTGATTAATTATTTGCTTATGACCTAGAGATTGAAACATGTGCAGAATATCAACCGAGGATTTGTCATTTGTTCGCAATAAATTAATATTAAAATCCCCTATATAAAGGGTTTCATCACTCAAGCATGCATTAATAGTTACAGCCTCCTCAAGCGCACTAACGAATTCCAGATATGAGATCTCCTGCCTTCTGTAGATCACACCAACATTAAGAGTGTATTGCTGAAAATACAATTTAACCCATAATTGTTCCATGGCAGTACTTACCACCTCTGTCACAGTGACAGTAAATTTAATGTGTTTTCTAATATAAACCTCCACGTGATCCATCATCTCTATCTCTCCTTACTAGGTTATATCCGTTAATAGCTATAAGGTCGTCTAATATTCTAGGTGTTAGCCAGGTTTCTGTAATTCCAAGCACATCAAATCCCGAGGACAGCATCAGGTTTTTGAAATCTGAAAACTTAGGAAAAAGTGAACGAACGTTTAAATGACCAACAACAATAGTACACATCCCATTCAAAGAAAAATTAGAAACAGTGAATCAGACACACTGAAATAATTGTATATAATTCTACACATATAAGCATCAACAAAATATGAGGCAACAACACAAATAATGAAGGTTCGAATAAACTTATGAGTTTTAAATAAATGAAACTGCATTATGCGTACGAAATGATTGCACTAAATGTGACAAAGATCGTCCTATAGTGCACCTGACTGAATAAATAAGATGTCGGCATCGGACCTTATCTCCTTGATAGGGGATTCTTCATCTTTTCGGGCGTAAATACATCCATTTCGTGTCCACAGGAATTTGAACTTGGTTGTTTTCTTGAGCTCACGA